GATTCCTATTTAGTTTCTAGTTTCGAGCTCTGTTTTAAAACTACTTCAACACCAATGCATTTTCAATGGCTTTCATAATTATTTTTTTTGGGGGTGGGGTTTGGAGGAGGAAGTTTACAGAGAAAAAAAACACTTTTTTAAAAAAAAAATTGACTTCCAACAAACCTTCTGACTTCCTCCTAGATCCACCCAGTCCCAGGCGTCCCCCTGAATGCACAGAAGGGAATCAGGAGCACTTTCGTACTATCAGCCTAAGCTAGTTAGGAATTTGATTGAGATCTGTTAAGCTCCTGTCACATAGGACTAATGAGAGAGGAGACTTATACACTTACAGGATCTGATTCAGACTCGCGTCTAGGGGTGAAAAGCCCATTGTTTAAGTTGTGCCACCTAACCCTCATCCTTCACCTAGGCTCAGGAGCTGAAAAAAGCCTTATGTATCCACTGACGCCAAATTTTCTGAGCTTTTAGAGCCTTTTGTGACGTTGACTAAAGACTGTCGTTGCTCACGTGTCTAGGGAACAATGCTTCCCATTGCATATTTATACAAGGTGTAGCCTGAGCCTAAGGTCCAGTGACTTCTCCTCCCCCAACCCCTGTGTAATTTGAACGGAGTGGGGTGACCAGGTTTTACGGATGATTGCTATTGTAGATGGAATGTGCTGCAAAGTGTACGTCCGTCTGTTAAGCAAATAAATTGCAATATTTAGTTACAGAAAAGAGTGTCGCTTGGGAAGCAATTGTCTCTGCATTTTGAACCTTCCCTGTTTTGTATAAAGAGGGTCTTGTGCCGTGAGTGGAGTTCAACAGGATTTCACTGGCTGGTCAGTAGAAACAACCGACCATATGATTGTGTGAGATGCATCGTCATACGTCTTCATGTCTGTCGCTTGCAGGAATTGAACCATAGCGTAGTGGTTAGAGTGCTCGCCTCGCAAGCAAGAGGATTCTAGTTCAATTTCCAGGCAGGGCGAAACCTAAAGCAAGTTTCCTTACTCTACACGGTTCTGTTTACCTAGCAGTAAGTAGGAACTTGGTTGTTTGTCGATTGGCTGATCACTTTCCGGGGGTAATAATCCCTTTTTTAAAAAATAGGAAGTGTTCACTTAATCCGACTGTTTGTAGGACACTGTTATGCATTGTGCCCACAAAATACACAGTCAATCCACTTTGCAGTATATTCTGTGAAGAGCTTTGGGACATCTAAACAACGTGATACGGAGCTATATCAAATGCAAGGATTATTATTTTTATAACTGACTGAATTGGAGGGTAGCGGCTTCCACAGTACAATTTATGGTAACTTAATGTGGATTAGAATTTCTTGCATCCAGTAATCCAAAGCAGATTTTCTTCGTAAAACTTTTCTGTGTCAATGGTTTCAGATGGGGTGGGATGGAACGCTCAATACAGCTGTGGACAGAAAAAAACGCCCTCTAATAAACACCCTACGCAGATGTGATCTCAACCCAGAGCTTATGCGAATTGCGAATGTTATCTGAACCTACACGTATCTTGTTAAAAAAAACTCCCTTCCCCTCCTCCTCTTCCCCCCCCTTTTTCCCTCCTCCTCTTCCCCCCCCTCTTCAATTCCCCTCTTCTTCCCCCTCTAGGCGGTGGAGAAGACATTGAAGCTGAGCTGAATCCGGGCAAGTGATCAGCAGCTGGAGACCTAGCTTGAACTTTAACCCCCTCACTGGTCTGAGCAGACTGAAGCACATTGCAGTTTGTGATGAGATCACTAATTCAACACAGACTGAATGCCAAACTGGTGCCTACTGTGTACGACTCACCTTAACAGTGGGTGATGCGTCATTGAGTCATTGAGATGCCACCAGTTTTATACAAATGAGATGGTGGTGGGGGCTGGGAAGGGGGTTCTTAGATTGCTTTGCTCCCGGGTATACCATTCCGGGTATGGACGGCTTCCTACCAAAGTGAATCGCTTTATCTTTCTCTACATTAAACTTCATCTGAATTCTGTCAGCCCATCCCGCAAGCCTGTTTGTCTTCTTGCATCGTTTATATAACTCTAGCACCACACAGGCAGCATTACTCTCCCCGCTTATTCTGTGATGTGAAACAGACCACATTGAATGCGGTGTACAGTACAAAAAGGGGTATACAGTACAAATTGCCTGGCGTGGTGTGAATAGAGCGGAGTGATTTTGTACATTTTGTGACTTTACAGCCTGGATTTGACGATCATGCCATATTCTGGCACTCAAGCTAATTCCAGATGATGAAAAAATCAAAAACAGATCTGCAAATGATATGATGTCTTGAAACAATTTTAAATTGTGTGTGTAACTATGTGTGTAAAGAGCATTTGGGTGCAATCTAAGGACCCCAATCCCCATCTCCCACCAAAAAAAAAACCTGGGTTGGAGAACTGCCTGTAACTGGAATGCCCCTTTTAGTGTGTGTTCTTTGTATGGAATGAGGCCAGACAGTCTGCTGCTTGGAGGATTCTCAGTTGGGTTTGAGGTTTGGCAGGTTGCCTGAGCTCCGACTGCAGATTGAAGTCGTCTGGAATTGGGACTGGAGGGAGTGGTTCGCCACCGTACTTGTGCATGAGAGAAAGGGGCACCTGTTAGAGGTTGCAGGCATTTACCAATCTCTGGCCTGAACATATGGAATAATAATAATCTTTGCATTTGACACAGCGCCTTATCATGGCGTCAAGACGTCTTAAAGAGCTTCATAGGATTTACCGTAAAGTGAGTTGACTGTGAATTCTGTGGATGGAACGCGGCAGCAGTGCCCCAGAAACAGCTGTGGATTGAGGTGACATTCAATTGGCTACAGGGATATAGGAGGTGATGTTCCTCCCGTCAGGCATTGAAACCCAAACCAATCGCAGTTCCCTGCTCAGGTGGATGTTAAAGATCCTGTGGCACTGTTCAAAAATAGAAGGGAGTTTCTCTTTCCCAGTGTCCTGGGTAACACTTCCCCAAATAGATTAGTCATTCACCACCATTGTTTGAGATCTTGTTGTGCATAATTGGCTCCACGTATGAATACAGTCAGCCCACGCTCTGATAGCAATTAACTGAGAAGTGCTTTGAGATGTTTCATCATTTACAGGCGCCGTGTCCAACGCAAGCGTAATTATAACAAACACACACAAACACAAGCGGGGGGATGTGCCAAGTAGGTTACTGAGGATTCCTTTGTTAGCACGTGCTCCAGGAAACGCCCGGTCGGATGGGTTGTTTTGCCACTTGCATTCATTCTAGCAGAGGCTGAGGTTTGAGAGGGGCCTAGACTTGTCCCTTCAGCATCCATGCCAATGGGCAGACCTCAACACAATCTTCCACAAGTACCTGGAGTGAAACACAGCACTGGGTGATACACACACTTCACCTTTAAATACACTCTGCTGTGTTTTTAAAAAAAAAATGTACAAAAGAACCAAAGGGGAGATGATGAGAAATGTTTTTATGCAGTGACTTGTTACGATCTGGAGTGCGCTGCCTGAAAGGGTGGTGGAAGCAGATTCAATAATAACTTTGCAAGGCTATGGGGAAAGAGCGGGGAGTGGGACTAGTTGATAGCTCTTTCAAAAAACTGGCACAGGCACGATAGGCCGAATGGTCTCCCTTCTGTGTTGTAGGATTCTATAATTCTAACTCTTCGTGAACAGGAAAGGGGACAGGGTTTTAGTAAACATTGATACTAAATCCACGACTGTTTGTGGGACACTGCTGTGCGCAAATTGGCTGCTGTTTCACCCACAGAATGTACAGTCAATGCACTTTACAGTATATTCTTTGAAGCAGTTTGAGACGTCTTGAAGACGTGATAAGGTGCTATATCAATTGCAAGGATTATTATTACAGTGGTGATGCTTTACAAAGGGATGGGGAGCGAGCAGCATTAAGTTAAGGGGCTCGCGTGGCAAAAAAAAATCAGTGTGAGTGGACTTTGAGACGAACAGCCTGTTTCCTTGCTGTCATGTTGTATGAATCTGTTAGTGAGTTTTTTTTAAGAGAATGGAGTTGTCTGCTTTTGTGATTTCTCTTTGGGTTCCACAGGTAAATGAGTTTACCAGAAATGCACTCTGGGAGTATAGGTTTCTTGAGAGTCTGCGATAGAACGTTGTTTGTTTTCTTTCTTTCAGTCTGAGTTTTAAGAGAAGGTATTTTCGAAAAGCAGACTTTCACTCAGGCAGGTCACAAGCGATCGAGAGTGGCGCGGAATATTTTATAAAACTCCGCTCGCTGTGTGTAGTCCGAGCAAATAAACACGGTAATGTGTGTATCTAGAATTTACTGCCGAGTAATTTAGATAAGAGTGTTTGCCATTGGGGTTTTAAGGTTTTAACAAGTCTCTGGTCGGTTGCATTTTTGGCTGGGGCAGCAGTCGGAGAGTTGAAATCAACCTCTTCTGGGGGTTCCCTTTCCTGAGGTCCAAAATTCCACCTAGTCTCAGCCTGTAAGATCATTTTATCTTCACAATTTACGATGGAGAAGCTCGGTTGAAAAAATTCTCAAATCCCCACATCGTTTGGAAGCTGGCCTTCCACAGCTCTGAAAAACACTTTCAATTTCTGGTCCTGCAGACAAAAAAAAGAAGACGTTTTCAGTGGACAGCTGTTTCTGTTTTTTGTTAATCCTCTGCCTCTCGTGACCTAACGGGACTGCAGTGATTAACAAATATTGACTTGAGTTGGCTCTGAGGTCCCTCTGGGCACGGGGTGTCGACCTTGGCACCTTGGCAAGTTTCACTGGCCTGAAGGAAAATGGCGTAATGCTCTCTTGAAACTCCCAGGTGAAAGCGAAAGCGATCCACCAATCGACTAACAACCAGGTTCCTGTTTATTGCTAGGTAAACAGAGGCATGTGTGTGGAATAAGGAAACTTGCCTAAGGTTTCGCTTTGAACTGGGAATTGAACCCAGGTCCTCTTGCTTACGAGGCGACCGCGCAAACCACTACTCTACAGGTCTACGCGAGCTGCACTTACCATCTGACCACTCTTCTCTCGTTTTGTCTTCAGTGCCGATTGGGTGGAGATCATTGAGCCTCGGACCCGGGAGCGCATGTACGTTAACCTGGTGACCGGCGAGTGTGGCTGGGACGCCCCCCAGAACGTGTGCGTCAGGCAGTCCAACGACAACCAGTGGTGGGAGCTGTTCGACCAGAACAATAACCGCTTCTACTATTACAACGCGCTTACTAAACAGACCGTGTGGCATCGGCCCCAGAACTGCGATGTGGTGCCCCTGGCAAGACTTCAGGCCATGAAAAGGAACTCTCAGTCCGAGAGCCGGGTCCGGCTGAGTGGAGACTGCGCTCAGCTCCTGGTCAGCGGCAGCGGAGAGGGCCGTGGGTTCTCAGCCCAAGTGACGGGAGTCCAGGATGCCGAGAGAGGAAAGAAGGCTGTTGGAGCCTTACAGGATTCAGTGGGCAGGAAGGAGTCTGGAAGGTAAGCCTTGACCTTTCTTGACATAACTTGCTTCTCTGGTGAATACCTTTTAGTTTTAAAGAGATTTCACTCAACCCTCTTACCCACCAGTGGATCAGGGAAGTGTTTCCTCTGCTTAGAATGATAACCCTTACATTTGACCCACATGGCGCCTTTCGTGTCAAGAGGTCATTTATCACATGGATACACAGTAAATTGTAGTGAGAATGAACGTGGCAGCCAATTTGCGCACAGCAATGTCCCCGCAAGCAGCCACAAAGTAAAAGTACTCTTATATACGTTTAGGATGAGTTATGTAGAGAGTCTTCGCATGTCTGTGTGTGTGTAACTGGAGAGCTTCTGGAGTGGCTGTTATTGATGGGAGATTGAGATCCCCTGGGGCTAAAATCAATTCTTTTCAGCCTTTTCCGTGACCGATAGCAACTGGTCGGGAGGAGGGGGTGGTGTGGTAGTTGGGGGAGCTGAGAGTGTCTTTAGTTAAAAGCCACCTGTCTGCTCGTGTTTTGCTGTGTTGTGACTGGGCCTGACACACACACAGTCATTGATTGAGGATGGCGATTCCGATCCGCTGTTTGAATATGATGTTTTTGGACTAGTTGTTTTTTCTGTGTGGCTGAATTTGCTGACTTGATTCTTGCCATCTGTATCCAGTTTTTGCTGCACTTAAATATAATCTTTACATTTGATACAGCGCCTTTCACACTGGGAGGATGTTCCAGAGTGTTTCACTGTAGAGTACAGTGACCGTGTGTTTTGTGGGGAAAACGCAGCAGCCAATTTGCACACAGACCTGCATGTTCCGCCACTGTTAAGCACTCCAAGACCCCACCAGCGTGAAGAGGCAATCTAAATGCAACTTCTTGTTGTCGTGTAAGATCAGAATATTATTTTTTGGTGGGGAGGGGAGTTTGAGATCAAACCTGTGTTTATAAAAAGTCTCTCAAAATGTACGCAGCACTCAAACTCTTTCCCAGTTGTGGAGTTGGGTTGTGGGGGGTGGGAGGGGTAGTAGCAAGACCCAAGTGCAGTCCCTTTTAATTATTTATACAGTGTTTCCGTGGTTAATGGAAGCTTATCTGTGTAATTGGCTGGGCGTTTCAGTTTATTCAGCAAGCAGGATTGTTTAAAGTATTGGATGGTCCTTTCCTATTCAGCCGGTTGCGCTGGTTACAGCTTTTGTGTTAATCCCCCACATGCGCTCTTTGTCCCGGCACGGTAAGGGTTAAGTTCCACGTTGAGCCTCTCTGGCTAACGAGGTCTGACCTGTCCCCTTCCGTCCCTCTGAAGGGCTGAATAGTGGACAGCAAGTCAACAGCGACTGAACTGCTAATAATGGGAGTTCCTGTATCTGAACCGAGGGAAAACTGCCTCCCTTACCCGTGTGCTGCTGGATCCTGAAAAAATTTCTCTTAACAAGTGCTGTCCTCTGTGTCGCCCTTAGCATGCACCACCTGATGCAGCTGAATGTTATAATAATCCTTGCATTTGATACAGCCCCTTATCACGTCATTGAGATGGCTCAAAGTGCTACACAAGATACACTGTAAAGTGTAGTAACTGTGTATTTTGTGGGTGAAACGTGGCAGCCAATTGCACACAGCAATGTCTCACAAACAGTGGTGGATTGAGTGACCATTTTTTTGAGGGATTATTATCCCCAGAAAGCGATCCGCCAATCGACTAACAAACTGGTTCCTATTTACTGCTAGGTAAACAGAGGCATCTAATTACTATGCTACGGGACAATCTACATGCTTTGCATGGTATTTGTTTCAAAAACCAACCCCCTAATTTAATGTACCGGTCGATGGCTGTGCTGTTCGTGTGTTCTGCAACTCATGGTGAGAATTGAGAGCGGGAAGAAAATTTTCACACGATACTTGCTGGGTTTTATTAAATTACTAACAATTTGGTACAAATTCTCATCTGGATAAATTTTTCAGTCGAAAGATTTAACTGCTGGCGCAGGAATGTTTCTTGGCCGACACTGAGATCTAAACAGTGTATCCACTCGTGTGGTTGGCTTTTTCCAATCCTCTTTTAGCTTGTGGAGCAAGAGAGAGATTTATACATGTCCTCCTATTATTATGGTTTATGATCTTAAGAAAAGCTTTCCAAAGTAATCGCTGTGAGGTGCTAGCCCCGTCCTTCCAGCGATCAATCGATTGTCCTTCCCGATCTTTCTGTGCTAGAGTGTGGGATATTTTGCCACTAAGATCTTTGTTATGTCGTTTGCACGCCTCCAAGATTTGACTTTTGAGATTAGATGAACGATGAGAGCTGAGGGGATCGAGACCACCCACCAAATGGTAGAAGCTGTTTTGTTTTCTTTTTAACGAGCTTTAATTTATTGAGTCATTTAAATCCTTTGGGCGACCCAGTTCGAGATAGATATCAAAATTGCGGTGGAAGAGGCTTTGCTTTGTGCCCTCTGAGGAAGACAATGCACTGAGCGGCTTGTATTGTCCCAGTGCTGGAGAGACCTCCTAGGGGTGGGAAGCCCTGACCTGTTCTTCATTGAGCGCTATTCATGTTGACTGAACCCAATGGAGCTCACAGTCTGGCGCCTTGTAGTACTCTGTGGTTCACACACGCCCTGCCCTCTCTTTTAAGGAGAAGATTTAGCGGTTGTAGATTTGAAGGGACTCGTCACATTGGAGTCCCGTAGCTTAGTGGTTAGCGCACTCACCTCACAAGTAGAGGACCCTGGTTCCATTCTCGGGTAGGGCGAAACCTTAGGCAAGTTTCCTTACTCCCACATGCCTCTGTTTAGCCAGCAGTAAGTAGGAACCTGGTTATGAGTCGATGGGCGAATCGCTTTTTGGGAGTGAAGAAAATGAATCTAAAAACCTTCAGGAGAGAGAAGAAGCTTCGGAAAATTAACAGAGATAATTTAACATTGCAGAAACCCAAATCATTGACTTGTGTTCAGGAAATGATGATACTGAACAATATGAACATGTTACCAGAAAAACTATGTTCCTAAGTTATTCTTTTTTTAAATAATCCTACATTATCCAGGTCTCATACTTGTCAATTCTCTTTGCCAAATAACTGTGATTTTTGCCTTTTTGAAATTTCTGCCCTAACCTGCCTCCCTTGGCGAGTATGTTGTGCACTCTCACCATTCTGTGCAGCAAAAGTAATTAAATCTGAAACATCTTGTAACTTTTCCCTCTCCTGCACTTCTCCTTGTTCTAGTTTTTTTGTGTGAAACTCTGTCCGCCGAGTGGGCGAAACAGTTGGGAGTGAAATGAATCCGGTGAGATCCTCCCTCCATTATCTTCCATAACCATTGAGTTATGATTAGATTTTTTTTGTCCTTTTTAAAGCGCTGTGTTCCTGGGGGCGACTTCCTCTATGGCGAAGCCGCCGTATTCTCTTACCCTAGCTGTAGTTACAACAGTTGTTTCATTCTTTCCTTCTCTTGCAGGGTAATTTACCTACATTGTGACCTTTATAAATTACCTCTTTTGCTCTCTTTAATTACAGCATGTTTCGCATTAAGTACTCGCAGAGCAGACCCTAATTGCACTTTTCTCTTTTTTTTGAAAAAAATGGAGCAGATTGAAAGCGACGTGTGTTTGCACAGTTGTTACAGATTACTTTTTTTAAAAAGAGTTGGACAGCTTCCTTACTTTAAAACAGCAGCTTAGTATGAACATACTAGTATGAACATACAGTATGTTCACTGAGAAACGAAAAGAAACGCTTTTATTTGCCAGCCGTGACCTGAAAGGCTCCCTCAATCTTGAGCGAAGTGGCTTTTCCCCTCGTTTGTGCATTAATCCTTTCTCTCGAGCGTGCGTTCCTCTTGTGTAGATTTCTATCTGCAGTGGTTGTATTGTGCATATCTTGGAGTGACTAGATAAAAGGGAATGGGGTTAGTCACCTCCATAGCGAGCAGGAAATGAAGTCAGCTGCGTGAATCACTATCTTGTACTCGTACAATCTCCTGATTATTCCAGCTAAGAGCTGGTCTCAGAGGGAGATTTCCCCTGGACTCTGTTTAAAGGAGGCCTCTCTGACCACAAACTCGGTGAATTGTTAACAGAATAAGATTAGCGCAGTAGCTATTGTTTACATTACAAGTTTTTTTGATGGAGAATGATTTGTTATAGGGGCTTACCACCCCCACCCCTTTCTCCGGAAAAGACCCCCGGGGCTAGAGAATAAACTTTCTTTTGTGGATCTATGTATATCCACAGGACAGTTTTCAAAGGGTTGCGGTTTGGGCTGAAAAGCACATTTCAGCGTTAGGCTGAGGATTAATCTGTGTGTTTGGGTGTTTCAGGTGGGCTTTAAAGGGCCCCACGGGCACATGTTTGGCAAAGCGCTGTGAGTTCTACTGATGTTCTGGCCAATATTTCTTCATCGTAAGTCGGGCCTTCAGCATTTCTGCCCCCACCCTCCCATCCCGAAGCCCCTCTGCCTCGTTCCCTCCCTTGTCTCCTGCAAGGCCCATCTCAAGGCCTTCCTCTTTGACCGTGCCTTCTTCCCCTCCTTGCCCTCAACCCCTCTTGATTCCATTCCACCAATTTGGGCGCAAACCCTTCACTGTCCAGTGTCTTGAGACGTCCTCCCAACGTTAAAGGCGCAGTTTGTGGTTGTTGTTGCTCCTCAATTCGCCAAAGCAGATTGATCAGTCTTTCATCTGAGTGCTGTCTATAGATTGTTGCAGATTTGCTGCCTGTTTGCCTAGTCACTTCAGTTCACAGTAACTCATCGTGGTGAGGCACCTACGGATGAGTTGATATTTTAAAAGTGAGCGTTCGTAAAACTTACACCAGTTGCATTCTTCAAACTTCACCTACTGTGAACTATCTGGCTCTGCTTCTTTAGTTCAAAGTGTAACACTGTAATTAAACACCGAGGTGCAAAAAGCTTCCTTGTCCCGTGTTTTTGTTGTCTGATTTCCAAAAGGCTGAATTCATTGTATTTTAATGAAGCGTGGGTGTGTTGTGGATGAGTTGCGCTGGCGATAGCGTGTGAAGGCATGA